TCCAAGATCCCAATAATGGCAAGTTACCTCAAGATTAATACCCAGTGTGATAAATCAAGCATCAAGTTAAAATGTAAAAAAATAAAACAAAAAATTTTTTTTTTTAAATTAGTGGCATAGGTAATGAAAAATAAATAGAATAAAAAGGACTGGATTTACCTGAAGTAAAATGTTGACCAGTCATTGTCCTGGCATGTCATGATTCCTCCTGCACTTTCATCATAAGAGCAGCTGTGAATTCTGGCAGTGATGGGGGTCTTCAAGTGATCTCTGTGAAAACAACTTTAACCTGGAAGTAAAATAATACATGAATTAGTTGAAGACAGAAACTTTATTATATTAGAGCGCAAGCTTGCATTATTATGAAGACAATATCCTAAAAGTTACCATCATAAAAAGTACCAAAAAAATTAATCACACACTTGGTGTAATCATTGCTTTTACACCAGCCATGTTTGCATGGGTGTATTGACAACAAATTCCTGGTTCTCAAAGGGAAAGTTGAATGGCTTTGTTTAATTAATCTATTAAATAGTTAAAGTCCAACCACTATTGGAATTAGTGAGTATTCACGTTCTTTATTTAGGGAGGTGGTGTTTAATGAACATAATAAAAACTTCAAAATGGTCAAGTCAAGCTCAGTGCAAGATTTTAACTACAACTGCCATCACAGTAGTGAATCTTTAAAAATGTAAATAAGATTTTTTGTCACAGATCAATGGTAATACAATTCTAACCTGCAAGATGTAACTCTTGATTATTACTACTATGATTTTTTTAAAAAAATGTATGCTATAGCGATAGATGAATCTAAATATAAGAAGCAATCCATCTAAATAGCTTTTTTGTATTTTTTAATTATTTCTTTTACAGCAAAAATACACTCAATGTGTCAGAATTTTTTTTTAGATTTTGTAGGGATTTTTTATCTAATTTTAACTAAATTAGGAATGTGCAAGACTTTACCCTAACCTAATCAGTGAAACTAACCATTCCAATACTGTTTTTTCATATTTCTTACATGAACTAGCGGGATTTATCTTTATATAAAGTGCATTCAAAGGATCAAGATACTAATATTTATTATTGGAAGTGGGGTTAGGATGATGCTAGGTGTGTTATGGTTGGCTCTTGGATTAAAATTTCAAAACATTTTTAAAAATATAAAAATACTACAGCTGTATAGAGCCTGGAGAATAGATTACAAAAACACCAAGATCAACTTTCTAGCTCAAGTGGTTCAAAAGTTATGAATTTTTTAGTAGGGACCTCAAAACCACATTTTTACTATGGGATTTTCCCCAACATTTTGTGACCCTCATTTTGCTTTTTTTTTTAACGCCTATAACTTTATTGTAAAATGAGACAAAAATATAATATTGACAGGGAACATAGTTAAATAAGAGTACTTCTAAATAAAGCCACAAAATATATGTTAGTTTTTGTTAATGTGCAGCAAATATTAAAAAAGAAACGTTTTTATTTGCCTATTAATAAATGTATAAAAATGCTGACTCATCACTTATTTGTAATTTAATTAATTAAAATTTTGTTTTAATATCCCAAAAATCATAATAATAATAATATTCTTTAGATATTAATTGCAGATTTTCTGTGTAATTGTTTAGCATTTATAAGCATAAACAAATAATAAAGGGATCATTTGTTTTATTTATTTAAAATTGACAATTACACTTTTTATTTTACCATTTTCTACATATGTATACTATATATTATATTATTCCTATGAGTATGACAAAACAATCAGCATGTCATTTGAAGACCTCAAGGGAAAAAACGGCAGAGTCCATTTTTAATTTTTTTGAGTTATCACCCCTGACTAATAGCCAGTTAAAAATAGAAGGTGCCGAATTAAGTTTAAAGGAGAAAAAATGGCTAAGTCCATAAGAAAAATGGAAACGAAAAAGCTGTATACAATGGAAAAGGGGGCTAAGTCACTAATATCACGTGACATTTGAAGTCACAGGATTTAAAGGTCCAATGAGAGATAGCTCTAGTGTAAACAAAATTTAAAGATGGCCATCGATTCGCTCAGCTGACCGACAAACCGAGGAAAAAAATAAACTGACAGACCTGAATTTTTTTAATTTCCTACTACAAGAACACAAAACAAATTAACATAAGCACGATAAATTGGACTTAAAACATTAAAATAATAAAATTTGTATTTTTAAATCAGAATTTACCCTTGTTTTGTTAAATTCAGTTAATTAATGCGTGTGTTTGTCTCGTCTCTATCGCTGTCGCTCTAGTGACTAGAGTCTAGTCTAACACTGTTGCCGTTGCATGTCTGTGTCTCTCCTTGTCAGCCTATCTCAGTTAGTTTGTATGTCTCTCTCCCGGTCACTCTAACTCTGTGTCTGACTCCCCATGAACTCTCTATCTTTGAGTGTCTGTCTTGCTATCTCGGTCTGTTACTCTTTATGGATTTACTCATACAGTTACAGCTACTGCTAGAGAAAAAAAAACTAATATTGGGCCAAAATTGTAAGAAGCACATCAGAAACTTAGAAAGTATGATTTTAAATCTGATGTTCGGGTTAAATTATTAATAATATATTTGTTAATGATAGTTCTAGGCATGATCCATATTCTTATATTGATAGTGTCAATAAAAATGATTTACCTAAGGCAGGGGTCATTCCTAAATTACGACATGCTAAAAATGACCTTTTTAGACACCCCCTCCAACGGTCACGAAATGTCACTAATTCTCCCCCCTCCCCACCCCCTGTCACATCACCTAAAAAATTAAAAACATACATACAATTTTCATAACTAAATTAAGATATTATTTTATTCTTCAACATTTTCCCATAATGCAGCGGTTCTAAACCTGTTGGTCGCGACCCCTTTATGGGTCAAATGACTCTTTTAAAGGGGTCACCTAAAACAATCGGCAAACGCATATCCTCTACAGTTATGACGTATTGACGAAAATAATTTTATGGTTGGGGGTCGTACAACATGAGGAACTGCATTTAAGGGTCGCGGCATGAGGAAGGTTGAGAACCACTGCCATAATGATTTAGATGTAGTATTATTAGAAAACAGAGTTTCATGGTACCTATATTATAATACCTGAGGCAATTTTGACATCAAATTAATGTTTTAAAAATTAATTAAATTATGATTTTTTTTAAAGAATTAGAAACTTGTAGAGGTAAAAAAAAAAAGTGACGTCACAGTTTTTGACCCCCCCCCTTCCCCTGTCACAAAGTGTCGCATATTCTCGACCAACCCCCTCTGAGCGTGGCGTAATTTGCCAGTGACCCCTAAATGTGAATATTTTCTTATAAAATAGTTTTAAATAGATAGTTATCCATGATCAAACCTTGATAAATTACTACAAGGGAAAAAACGGCAGAGTCCATTTTAACCTCACTCTCTACTATAATGAAATAAAGCACGTTACATTCAAGTTAGAACTATTTTATCTAAATAATAACTCAGGGAAATGGACACTCTTGTGAAATGCATTTTAAAAATTACATTTTGTTTACACTTTTTTAATGTGCATGGTTTTGAACTTTAAAAATGGAATATTTCAAAACAACAAAAATGTGACCGTGCCGTTTTTTCCCTTGTGGTCTTCATTTATTTTAAGTTTGTAATCTTGTTTTACAAATCAACATGTACTATTAGAATCAACTTGGACTTTAGCTGTTAATAAAATAAGTTCTAGTCATTTACTAGAGGTAAGTACAGGTTCTTATGATTGTTCTTTAGTAATAATATCTTAAGTAAGTAATTCTTGGATTGTAGCGCCAGAAAGTGTGTTTTTTCTTTGAGAAACAGAGGATTATATAATAATTCTCTTGTGGAATATTGTGATATGTGATTAAATATAGGATATTTCAATACCAAAGGTAAGTGAACATTTCAAAATGTTTTACTTAGTTTATGCCTTAAGTAAGAATCACAATATTCATTAAATTTTATTAGATATCCTAAAATATCATTAAATATAATTTATTATAATAGGCCCTACAAATTAGTTGGGTTGGGTCTAGGCCTTAACCCTGATATAGTATACTTTGTATTATACTATATTATATGTATATAAAGCCTACAGTGCCTACAGCCTAATGGTCATTATATATATATACAAATAAATTTTATCCATAAATATATAAACTAATATAAATGATAAATATATTAGTTGTAATAAAAGCTATTTATCCCACTCCTTAAATCATTTATAATAGTATAAATACTATTATAATACTTTAACTTTAACTAAGCCTATCACTATCTAAGTCAAAGACAAGAGCTTATCATTCCCATGTCAGTCCAGTGTCAGCCAGGTCCATGGCAACCAACCCAAAAATTAAAATCACTGATATCAATAAGCCAATAATAATTATTTATGTTATAAAACATTTTTTATTTATATAAAATGATTTATTATTAGTTATATTTCCCATTAACACTCTGGATAACCAACGTAATGAATTTTTAATTACCCCACGGCTGCTATCGATAATTAGAAATAAGCAGACTAGCACAGTCGCCATGATGACAAATTACATAGCCTAAAAAATGACATCTTGGAAATTCGTTTTTGAAACTCATGAATTTTGGATATGTTGTAAATGAAACTATAAATTATATGAGCAGAGTTTTTTTTTATTACTGAGCGCATTTTTAATTTTAAGAAACAGTTATTCTTGAGTGAAGTTGACCAATTTTTAACTTCAATTTTCAAAGCTTTAACTTACCCAAAAAATCAAACCACTCTTATTAATATAACAGGAAAAATGTCGGCTGTAATTGGCGGAAGTAAAATTATATTATTATGCTAAAAATCGATTATGAAACACGAAACGATACCCTCAGTAAATTAAAAAGTAGAGGTCGCCATTATGACAACGAAAATACGATACCCGTTTTTCGGGTATTTCCGGTCGATACCGAGGTCCCTATAAAAAGTCATTGCGCATGACGCGATCAGCGGAATGAGGTCACAAGATGTGGAGGTTTCGTCCATTGGTCCATAGTAAAAAAAAAAATACCAAACGAACTCACACTTTAAAAATTCATAGCTCAAAAAGTACTTAAGCTAAAAAGTTGATTCTGTTTTCATTTTTTTATTTGAAACTTGCTGTAACTGTAACTATGTTATTTAAAATAATTATTTCAATTTTTTTTAAATTTTGTATTCAAGTGCCTACATTTAGCGACATAAGTTCGTGGGTCACGATAACCAAGATGGCGGCCGCGGGCTGATCTCTCCGAATTTACCCTTATTTTAATTCAAAAAGAACATTTGTTTTATGGGAAGTGTTAATAATAATAATTTTTGCGGTGAATTAAAATTGAAGTATCCACTTCTGATATCGGGTCCGAATAGCCGCAGCCAAACTTTTCATTACAATTACAGATAGACAGTAGCCCATTTACCGCCAAAAAAAAAAGCAACTTTGATCTTGAATATTGATTGATGTCATGTTAATGATTATAGCAATATATTTAAAATAGAATTAAAAAATACATAAACGTATTATTACTTGCTTTTAGCTGTACGTCACATTGATCTTGGTGTTTCTTAAGCTCTAAAGGAAAGTCTTCAAAATATGGCAAATTTCTCGATTGATAATAATGGCTCTAAGATGGCAAACCAACAGGAAGTATCCGTCATAACCATCACGTGACCAACCAAATGTATAGATCTCACGTGACCAGCCGGGTCCGAATAGCTATTTGCTGCTATATCTTCCCGGGTACCTTATGGCCACTCCGATTATTTTTTTTAAAAACACCGATTGCCACGCTGGTAAGCTACTTCAAAGTAATAGGAAAAATCGATGACTATTGATGTCTTGTTTTTTCCAATGAACTTAATATTTTTGGATCCCTTGTAAATAAAAATGGGGTAACACAAAAACATGATCATTTTAAGTCATAGAAATTTTATTTATTGAATATTTGTAAATAAAAAAGTTGCCCTACTTTATCCAAGTGTATGTAACACGTATAATCAATAATTTTTTCAATAAAATAATTTAAAATGTTCATAAAATTGTTATTATAACAAATGAATAATATAACATATTCAAATCAATTTAAAATATTAATTTCACATAATATATGTATTAATTTTTATAACGGATATTTTTTAAAATTATCTGGTAATGACTGTGAAAACGAAAGTTAAGCTCTAGTATCTCCCATAATTCTCTTGTGACGTCAATATATCGAAATTACTTGTATCCCTCTAGGGCGAATTGAGGTGTGGTTCATTGATGTGAGTGATAAAAACACAAACATAGGTGATCACAAATATAATTACAGGTACTTAGGCCATGCTTTACCTTTATGCATCTATTTTATTATTGTAACAGAGTTGATTTTTTTTAAAAATTGAACATTCGCTAAATGTCAATATTTAATATGAAACATTGTGGAGTTTTAGGAACCGCTACTAATGTTCATCTTTATTCATTTCCGCCTTCGTGATTCTGTATGGCGGAGACCCGGTTATTGGATTTATGTCTTAGTAGCATTCTAGTGATTTTACTCAGCGTTCGGGGCGCACTGTTTGCAACGTAGTCACGATGAGTTCCACTTTAATGAACTCTTAGTCGTCTTAGTCCTGTCTATTTTTCTGGATAATTTTTTGCAATTTTAAAACTGGTGTTCGCCATTTTGGATGACGTCATACATGGCACCACACAGAAGCATTAAAAAAGAATTATTTTTAAGAAACTACACAAGCAATAATCAATGCATTGATGATTAATTATGCTAAAAATACTTTCTCTATTTTTGGCATACTTAATTATAACTTATTTGAATGTTAAATAGGAGTCTGTAACTGTATATTTTTTGGGCCCAGATGAGTTATATTTTAGTAGTGTACTCAGTTCAGTTAACTCAGAGTAGTCTACATTTATTATCATTCATTAAATTAATTCATTAAATATGAAAAATAGTAAATAGTCTGAATAGACCTAGCCGAAGCCCAAGGCACTAACTAAAATTAAATTAAGGTAGGCACTTGTGTAATTCAAGGGAGTCTACTATTAAAATTCGGAGTGTCTACACGTCCGGCGCACCGGACAAATAGTGCATGTGATATACGCCTGGAATTGCTTTACTCTTACGATTTTGGCGTACTATGTACGATTTTGAGGTGTTAGCATGTATACTGTGTTTATTTTTAGCAACAGTAGTTTTCTGAGAAGTTTTAAAATACGAAGTGGTTATGCGCAGCCGACTGCGTATAACCCTGAGAGTTATACGCAGTCGGCAAGTCACATGACGTCTATATTCTTCCTGTGTTACAGTATCAATCAATAAGGGTGCATTGCTATCGGGGTGACTGTGTGGTCGAATGGTCTAAACTGACCAAACCTCAAGTTGGTGGTCTGGAGTTCAATTCCAGCCAACGGCAAACCATGAATGTGCGTTAGTTGCTATGCTTTTTCTCGAGAATGAAGCAACAATTAGGCTAATTTTATACTTTTTTTTTGGCTAAAGAATGTTAAAACATGAGAAGAATTATTAACTTGACCAATGTAATGTTAATAATGTTATACTTATAATTATATGTTTGTGTTGTTAAATAATTTTGTGGCAGATAAAATCATGTTTCACTGGTACAGTAATAAAAATAATCATGGGTTGAGAGTAGCAGGAAAAAAATCGCTGTAGTGTAGGGGCAGGGGTTCTGTAGAGGGGGCAGTGTAAGTCATACTTTCACACAGTTATAGTTTTGCATGGAAGCTGAAAACTGTTACATTTAGGTCATCAAAAAAAAAATAAATAAATGATAAAATTTAAAAAAAGATAAATAGAATGTATTTCCTGAATTAGTCAGTAAAACCAACCACATAGTCATAGCAACATATAAAAACCTAATCAATCAAAATACATAACTAGACTTAGACCATGGAAATGCCTTTAAAAAATCTAAAACTTAGGTTTAGACTCTAAGAAATGTAGACTTTGACTTATACTTATAATTATAATATATAAGATACAAGCAATAATACTAATAATAGCACTAATACTAATAGTATTGCTATAATCAATTTCAATATAATTAAAATTAATTCAATTAAAATTTTACGTTAAACACATAAAAAGTTCTAGTTCAAAACAATCCATAATGCAGCTAATTACGCATAACACTTTTTTTAAATTGCCAAACAAGCGATTGCTAACCTTATTTGGCTAAATTCCTAGCCGACTGCGTATAACCCTGAGAGTTATACGCAGTCGGCTGTGAATAACCCTCAGGGTTATGCGCAGTCGACTGCGTATAACGCTTCCCTTTAAAATATTTTGTAGCAATTTAAATTGAAATCTTTTACTTTTATTGGTTGCCTACTCCATACTGGCCCCTAATTTATTTTATGGATTGCTGGTGCACAAACTCAAATAACAAACTAAACAAAAATGTTTACAAGTCACTTTCACTTTTTCTATTATTTGCATGCAAGATACTCAGCAAATTACTTGGCAGAGAAATAGATTTTAAAATTAACAATAGTTTTGAATCATTCGCAGTCACGTGACAAGGCTGAGAGACAAAATATCTCTCGCCACTTTGTTACAGGGGTCATGTGACTTGGTCGCCTGACAAATAGTGCGAGAGATATACGTCCCGCGCGCCGGACATGTAGACACTGCCATTAAAATTTGTATTGGAAATGAGTCAGCACAGAAAAATCATAGGCATATGAATTTCTAATTTTTGAAGAATAGTGATAAGGATTATTTTATCTTAAATATATATAACTTGGGTGCCCTGATTCAGCCATATCCCATAGATTTTTTTTTTTTGTATGATTTGTACGACTTTTGGACAATCCTTATCAAAATGAGGCACCTTATAAACCAAATCGAAATGTAAGAATTAAGACATACCCATTTCATCTTTTATATTCTGATTTAGTGTACTATTATTATTTCCAATTTTCACTGCACTGGGCTTACTCATGTAGGCACAATGCTCCTCAACGTTAGCTGAATCTGTGGATGCATTCGCCACCCCTTTCGTAGTAGAGGGATTTTCTAATCTGCTCCGATTTACATATTCTATTTATTTAATTGAGTTTAGGCTTAGGGCACAAACAGTAGAATAGTTTTAAGGTACTGTAGGCACTTTCGTAAAGAAATTAAAAAGTTCCCAAAAGTTATAAAAATGTTACAGTTGTATAGAATATAGTTCAAACTTCAAATGAAGATAATGTAATCAGAATTGACTTTTCTAACTTTTTGAGCTATGAATTTTTAAAATGAGTTCTTTTGTAATTTTTTACCATGGACTCTGGACTGCACCTCCACATTTTCTAACCCAAATCCGCTGATCGTGCCATGCGCAATAACTCTTTGTTTTAATGATAATAGTATACAACTTTAATTTTATGTGTATTAAAATTTCTTATTTTATATCTACATTATATATAGCCAATGTAGTAAGGCGTCCCCTTAAAAATAATACTGGTTTGTACTACTTATTATGAGCTTTCATTTTTATTTTTGCACATGACTAATTAATTAAAGCTTTACCTGACCAATGATGTAAAAGCTTTTGCACACATTGATCTCTTATGAATGAAAATATGAGAATAATACTATGGGGTTGTCCATTTATCACGTCACAATATTTTACACACACACACAAACACACACCCCCCCCCCCCAAAAAGAATTATAATATAAATAAATTATAAATACATTTTACTTTGTGCTGATCTATTTAAATGACACATAAAATGGTAAGGAAAACATTTTATTACATGTTTAGCTTGTTAATCAACAAGTTAAAAAGTTTTTTTAAGCGATTTGAAAATTTGCACACATGTAGATCAATATATACCCATAAGAGCCATAATAAAAATGACACTGGCACATATTTCATTTGAACTTAATTTAAGGCAACTTTCATCATTAAAATTGAATTACTATCTTGCACCATTGTGTTCTTTTTCTGGTCTTTCGCTCTAAAGGACACATTGGCTAAAATTTTAAAAACATCTTTTCATTTGCTATCAGTCAACTTTGAGAAAATCCAAGGTGAAAATAAGGCAACTTTCATCATTAATTTTCAAGCAGATACTTAGGAAATATTAACTTATAACCATTTGCGTCAAAAAATTTGATAATTTATTATTAGAATGAACACAGAAGGCATGTAAACAATTTATTTTGACATTCAAACCCTAGGAGAGTCCATATTATAAATTATCATATAATCTGCTGTGTACAGTCGTTGTTATGGGGAACCATTCAGTCATTAGCATATGAATATAGTAAAGTGTTATCAGCTTCATTCATAATAGATAACTGTGTGCAAACACTATTAAGCCATTGGTTGGTTAAAGCTTTAGGTAATTAGTGGTGAGTCAAAGTTGAATTCTAAATAAGTAGTCCTTATCCAGTATTTTTCATTAGAGAATGTGATGCCTTATTTCATATTTATATATATATATAGAGAGAGATGGATATATATATATAGATATATATTGTTTATCCTCATTTTCTAATGCAGTTAGGAAACATCTAAGTATGTCATAATATCCAGGATGTGTTTTTATTAATGTTTTGACATAAACATAGTAGCCCTAGATCAGAGACTAAAGGTAGCTAGTAGATACAGACTAGACTGACTAGAATTTGGGTATTTGAACAATGATGTCCTTTGTACATAAAAGTAAAAGAATTTTTAAAACTTGTCATCCACTGTAAAAGCAATGTTTAGGGAATTTTTAGATAGTCCTATAGTTAGGATATACATGTTAGCGCATTTCACAATAGTGTCTAATAAATCAAGGCTAAGGAAACATTTTCTTTTTTCCCCTTTTGTAATCCTGTTTCTTTGACTGGAATAAACTTTGGATCGGGAACTTTGTTCCATCACTAGGCACATCATAAGAATTTACCCTGCATAGAAATTGACCAAATATCACATGTACTTTACTTAGTTACAAATGCGTGTTTAATCATACCAACAGTAAGGTCAGGCAGGAATGTGTTCAACAACTGCAGCAAGGATTTTGAAATTTAAAATTTGATAACTGGTCTCACAAGTTATCAGTATGAAATTTTTAAATTGTTCCCCAACTTTTTTTCTTCAGATAACCTAAGTGCCAGCCATGGCAGCGATAAGAAAGAAGCTTGTTATTGTTGGTGATGGTGCCTGTGGTAAAACGTGTCTACTGATAGTTTTTAGTAAAGATCAATTTCCTGAAGTTTATGTGCCAACTGTTTTTGAGAATTATGTAGCCGACATAGAAGTTGATAGCAAGCAGGTTTGTCAAATTATTTTATACATTACTGTTTTAGAGATGGCAATATTTTAAATTTCAATTGATAAGGGCGGAAAATTTAAAACAAGAAGTGTACTTGTAAACATAAGTGCATTGGGAAATATTATTCCAAATTCATTTGGATTTAAATGTTGCCATCATATTAAGTTATTGTCAATGATTTGTACATAATTACATATGTGCTACTTTATTCTTACATCATTTACTTGTATTTGATTTACTTATTTAAAATGTGTTTAAAATTTTCACTGCACAAAAGGACCCCTGAACGCTTTTGTATTGCCAATACTCTGTTTTTTCCCAACCAAAATAAAAGAATTTTTCCAAGGAGCTTTTTTTTGCTCTGAGACCGCAGAATGAGAAGGCGTTTTCTTTTCCTGACTTTTGAAAATATAAAAGGAATTTTGAATTTCCATTTTTGGTGAGTGGATAAAAGTTTTAGCATGATTTTTTTAGATGCCTAATGGACACGGATTTTTTTAAGTATATTAAATTCTAACATAGGCCTACAAGTTCCAAATAGCAGCTTCCTTTTTTTATTTCTTGTAACAACCTTGTAATGAAATATTTGAATACTTCTGCCTTTAGTAAAGATCTCTTTTCGTCCTTAGCTTAAAAGCCTAATCTGCATGGTGTTGCTTCATTCCTTTTTTTTGTCTGCCTGTCTGGATTTACTGAGACAATGTAGATTTCATCTGTTTGTTTTTTTGTTTTTTACTAATGAATATAGCTCTTAAATAGCATGTAATGCAATGGTACAACTAACAATCTTGATAAATTAAAAGAATAATAATATGCCTTCAACTTATTAGACATACTCTGAATTTTTGTTTTAGCATAATATTTTAAAATAACTTGATTGGGTCATGTGTTTTCCATTTGGTGATGTGTGGGGTGGGGGATATGAGATAATTTGTTGAATTTCACTATTTATGAAAACATAATGTTATTTTAACTTGGGTCGCATTTAGCCTCTAACCACCAAGTGCATCTTTTTATTTTCTATAGCTTGTTATTTACCACTCTTTTACTATAGGTATAAAAGTATTTGCATTTTTTAAAAAAACAATTGGGCATTTTAAAACAAAAAACCAGAATAGTCTAAATGACACAGTATTACTCAAAACCATTCTGAAGTACATTTTTAATTAGAATTATCAAGGATTATAAATTTGGACATCAGTGTATGAAATAGGAAAAAACTATGATGAATCAGTACACTTAAGAGTTGACTTTGTTTGTGTTTCTGTAAAAGGAATATTCTTAAGCAACTATAAATGGTCAATTGGGAACATGCAAGCTAGCAATCTAGTTATTGAAACTTCCTTACCATGATTGAATACTAATTTACTTAAAATTTAGCAACTCAGATTATTAGATTCAATTAATTAAAATCAATGATTTTCACATTTTGCTGTTCACTTCTTTAAGCCTCATTCATATTCAGGCTACTATTTAATCTGCTAAATATTATCATTTTAATGCTCTCATCTCTCAACTTTTATTGTTTTGATATCTTTTATTGTTTTGTTCTTTTATATTGAAGTGGTATTTCCTTAAAAAAGAATTAAGTGGCTTGAGGTGAATCAGTGAATCTCTTATTCACTTTCTCTTATTATGTATTGAATCTGCTACCATTATTATTTTTTAATTTTATATTTATTATACTAAGCTTCATATTTACAGCTTTTTTCTCTCTCTTTTTTTTTTTTTGTTGTTGCTGCTTCTTTTAATTTAAAATCAGCTCTTTTTTTCTAAGCTATTTGTATACTATTTTTTTTTCAAATTTAATTTTATTCACTTTCTCTTATTATGTATTGAATCTGCTACCATTATTATTTTTTAATTTTATATTTATTATACTAAGCTTCATATTTACAGCTTTTTTCTCTCTCTTTTTTTTTTTTTGCTGCTGCTGCTTCTTTTAATTTAAAATCAGCTCTTTCTTCCTAAGCTATTTGTATACTATATTTTTATCAAAATTAATTATTCTCCTAAAAATATGTTTTCTATAATTTGTAAAATTCACTTAAGTCAAAATTTGATATCCAGAAACATCCAGGTTAAGATGTATGCTTAATTTCTATTAACCCTCAATATGCTGATGCTTAGTTATGGAATTATCATACACTTTTTGATATCATTGTATATTTCACTTTAAATAATGCTTAATATAGTTATTTTGGTCCTGTTTCAGGTGGAGCTTGCATTATGGGACACCGCTGGACAAGAAGATTATGACCGTTTGCGACCATTATCTTATCCTGATACAGATGTTATCCTCATGTGCTTTTCTATTGATAGTCCTGACAGCTTGGAGAACATCCCTGAAAAGTGGACCCCTGAAGTCAGACACTTCTGCCCTAATGTCCCTATAATTTTAGTTGGCAACAAGAAGGATCTCCGACATGACCAAGTTACAATCAGGGAGCTGCATAAAATGAAACAGCAACCTGTGAAATTTGATGATGGCAAGGGTATGGCTGAAAGTATCAATGCATATGCCTACCTTGAGTGCTCAGCTAAAACCAAAGAAGGTGTAAGAGATGTTTTTGAAACAGCTACACGTGCAGCACTATCTATTAAAAGAAAGGCCAGAAAATTTAAATGTTCTCTACTTTGAAGTGTGAGAAGATGAACAGTTTATCATTCGGGATTTTCTTTTTTTACCCTGAATTTGTCTGGCATTAGTGCTGCAGAAAGACACTTTCTAATTTGAGCATTTAACCTCAATTAAGTATACTCTCGTACTGTTTGGATTCATAAGTGTAAACACTTAATTTGTTTATGTATGAACATTTAAAGTCAAATTTTTTTACTGAAATGAATATACTAAATTAGTTTGAATTATAATTTGTCCCTTTTGGCTTGATTCCTGAGCACACAGTGGGGTGTGTTAATAGTAGTAGTATTACTTTCATATTTTATGCCTTAAATGTTCAGATTTTAAAGCTTTTAGATATTGGTGTTTCGAATATTTTTTTCCCATTGCAAGGAAATGATTTAAGTGAACATCAACTTTTTTCATTTAAAAAAAAAAAAAAAAGTGCTTATCTATGCAAAAAAAAGAAATGCATAAGCTACAGTACTTGTAAAGCTTGAAGAAAAAAATGTCTTTAGTTTATCATTCAATTGACATGTAGGCTTGAATTTTTTGATTTGTTTTTTTTTAATTTGTTTGTTGTATGATGTCCATGATTTATTTTATTGTTAATTCAAAAATGTATTTTATCTTTGAAAGCATATTAACTCTCTTGTATACAGCTTGTAAATGAATAGTTACAGCTCGACTTGTACTAATTTCACTCTAATTTGTTTTGAGGGGTTTTTTTTTGTTAATAAATTATAGCATTTAAATTCATTAATAGCATATGAATGACTAATTAGTGAGAAGAAAAAAGTTTAGAACAAAATTTCAATTGAGATTCTTAATTGCAAAAGAGATTAAAAATGTACCGGTACCTAAATACTTTTTTTTCCTGTGGAAACAACAAACTATAGGAATGGACAGGACCAGTTGAAACTCTTCACATTTTTTACAAGCTGTAAATGCCGGTAATAAAATGTCATTACTAAAATTTGAAGTAAGGCATTCTGCTTAGGGATTACATTTAATTTCATCAGACATATTTCAAGATGATTACTTGATGATTCATGCATTTCAATGATTCATGCATTTCTAGTAAGGAAATCAAATTTATTTTTTATGTGAAATTAACAAATATTATTTTAATTTTACATAAGTGCTGGTCACTTTTAGATTAATTTTTAGGCATTAATGCCTTACACCCCTCATTTATTATCAGGCCTTAACAAAGATATGTATATTTAAATAGTACCTATTCATCAATGTTAGTACTTAAAACAAAACTTAAATTTTACATAAAAATATTACCGCACGTGATTGGTGTGTAAAACATTAGTGGTTATTGTTGCAAGTCTGGATTCTGATGTGAATGATTTTATTGCTTTTAAGATTGTAGGGATGTGCCAAGGTGCATTCCATTCCGCCATAAAATACATTAACCTAAGTAGCATAAAAATATCCAATCTGACTTTTGATTACTTTGGGCACAAGACTGTAATTCTTTAATTCTAATTATTTTCTATATCTTTTGGCTATACTATAATGGTACCATATGAAGAATAAGGAAATTGTATGCATGGTTGTTACTGTTTTTGTCACATTTGTTTAATCTTTGGTCTTGAGTCATTCAGATAATCAGATAATTAAATTCTATATATTTATCATTGTAACTTATTTTAGGGTCGACAAGAGAATTTGTTTTAAATAATTTTTCACTCAAAGAAAATAATATCCACTTTGCTTTTAAGTATTTTGTTTTTAAATTTTTTTATTTTTTTTTTTTGTCTAGGCATAAATTCTCAAGCTACAGCCTCTTAGTCAGAAAATAAAAGGTTATCCTCCATGTAAATTACCACTACTTCATTATTTTATTCTGGCACTTCTGTATGTACGAATGTTATCAGGTTATAAGAATGTTCAATTTAATTATGCATGCCATTTCAGCATAATTTGAAGAGATACTTTTTTAAAATTGAATGAGTACCCGCTAGATGGTTTATCACCGGGTACCTCCAGTAACGTGAAATCAACATTTAACATTATCTTCTTCAAAAGCAAACATTAAAGTCATTTGAGTTAGACCACAGGTTCCCAACCTTTTTCAAGTCGGGACCCTATTTTATAGAAGCAGGGGAACTGTTCCTTTACATAAAGGTATTCAAAAAATTAATAATGGAATAGAAATTTTTATTGGAATCCATTGTTCTCAAATACCGGCACAATTATCACATGTTAATCTTAAAATCTTTAAAATTATAATTTTTTTTTATTACGGTATGTTTTAGTTAACTATTTCAGCCGGTTTCCGGAAATTTTTTGAAAGAAATTTCGGCGATGGAAAATTGATCAAACTGAAGTTTAGTTTGATCGAAATCAAACTGAAGTTTAGTCGAAAATATTTTTTTTCAGTTCACACTTTTGAACATACTATACTATTTAGTAAAACAAAATAATGCAGTCAAAAAGAATATGACGCAAAATTTGATTGTGTGAACTGAAACAAAAATTTGATCAAACTTACGTCAATTTTCCATCAGCAAAATTTCATCAAACAAATTTCCAGATGCGATTTCAGCCTGTGGCCCCCACAGAAAAACCTCCATGACCTTTTGGTTGAGAACCGGGAAATAAACGAGTAATATGATCTAAATTATTGTGTGAATTCCTAGTGCTGCCCTGAGTGGAACAAGATTTTAGCTGCCCCCCTTCTACAAAAAAAAAAATACACCTTGCAGAAATAGTAAAAGCTTCCTGAATTAAAATGTAAGACCTGATCTCCATTTTTTTTTTATTATTATTATTATAAGTCATTCCACAGATGCAGACATGTCTTACTGTCACTCTTTTTTGAGTTTCTGAAACTATTTTAATGGAGAGCAGGAGTTTTTTAAATTATTTTTCATATCAAGCTTTCTTTTGTTGTGAATGTCAGTAATGAGAAAAATATTGAAAATAGATTATTGGCATTACATATTAGGTTGAACTTATTCATGTTAGCATTATGTAGCCCAAATTTATCAAATATGTTAAGTGGGGTGGGTTTTTTTCCCTCTTAGTTGAAAGTTCGTCTGACAGAATGCTATCTTTCATTCAAAATTCTGCTGAATTTACTAGCAACTTCCTGCAACAGTTTTATGTTTTCTGTTTTACATTTTGACAACATTAATGAAATATAAATGAAGTTGTTTGATTTAATGTGCGCTGATGTTTATCTCTCCTTGTTTATCAGATAATTCCAGCTGTAGTGTACATTTTGTTAGCATCCAACTAATCCCGATCAGTACTGCTAGACTTAGTTTGTTTTATTGTTTTTTTAAATAAATATGTATATGTATTATTTCTTTTCAAATTGTGTCAAAATTAAACCATTTTCTTTGACATTAAGTCTACATTGTTGCATTTTTGTGTAGGCTTTTTTTGTGAGTTGTTTTTTTTTCGAGTTTTTTTTTCAATGTCTGTTTTAATTGTAAGTACTGTTTTGTCTTAAAGTGATGAAGTGTCAAGTGCATTTTTCGGCCTTTATGACAGGTTGTGTGGCTATCAAAAACTTTGTATGCATAACTTAAAATTTTTTAATTTGAAGTTATTTAGTGTAGAAGTTTTTAATGTTCTAAGCTATACATATTGCAACTTCAGTAGAGTTACATGTCATGGGTCATTTCATAATTCTGCCTCCTCCTTCATTGCACACTCAGCATTAGGTTATTTGAAAGGTAAGAAGGTCCTTGATAAGTAGGCTTCAGATAGATGTCTATCAATATTTTTAGTTTATTCTTTTGGAATTCGTGTAGCCTTGAACATGTATTGGAGACAGAAGTAAGAGTTGATCCTTCGATGGTTGCGAAAAGAAAAGGCATTACTTAAATATAATACATTTTTTTTTTAATAATTAATTTTTAAACCCTTATTTTTTTTTTTACATAGGTTGAACTAGCCTTATGGGATACTGCTGGACAGGAAGATTATGATAGACTTAGGCCACTGTCATATCCAGACACAGATGTTATTCTCATGTGTTTCTCTATAGACAGCCCTGACAGCTTGGAAAATATTCCTGAGAAATGGACCCCAGAGGTAACCACTGCTTCAAATTAGGTTGTATATTAGTAATTTGCATTTTTAGACAATTCATAGACTCTTAGATGCTGTTACTGAACTGCAATGCTTCCAGAAATAGCATTTTAAAGCTCAAATTACATTGCCGTGATAGAGCACAAAGCTAAAACTAAAGATTATTTTTACCAAATTTGATTTATCCTAATCTTTACTTGTGATGTATCTATCTTAGGTTCGCCACTTCTGTCCAAACGTTCCTATCATTCTAGTAGGCAACAAAAAGGATCTTCGAAATGACGAAAGCACCAAACGAGAGCTCATGAAAATGAAACAAGAACCTGTACGACCCGAGGAAGGCAGAGCCATGGCTGAGAAAATAAATGCTTACTCATACCTAGAATGCTCTGCTAAAACTAAAGAGGGTGTGCGTGAGGTGTTTGAAACTGCTACCAGGGCGGCACTTCAAGTCAAAAAGAAGAAAAAGGGTGGATGTATTGTATTGTGAATGTGTGCATTTTTTTTCCAATCTGGGGCTGGAGAGAATGTCATGTTTTTATTTTCTATTATAGTCTTAACAGAGTATGCATATGCTGTTCTCTTGGTTAAAGAAATTTGATGCTACGTGCAAGTCTATTTCTATAAGGAAGGTTGAGAAATGTCATAGATTTGAACACACTAAACTAAGGACTTCCAGGTAGTTACTTTACTAATCCCTGGCTAAAAAAAATCTGTCCAGATTTCTTTAACATTTGACATTTCAATTTTTGTTAACCTTTTAAAAAAAAAAGGAGTAATGGACCTTTAGCATTTCTGTTTCTTCTGTTTTTGTTGTTGCTGTTGTTGTTCTTGACCATTCATTTTTGCTTATCATATTATAATATACTCATTGTTATTTAGTAACAGCTCCTCTTTGTACAGTCATCATTTGATACAATGGAAGGGTCTTATTGCTCATGTATAAAACAATGTGAGAACAGTTAACTGCCAAGCAGTGCGATCAGAAAGGATAAAATAAGTTGAAATCATTTTTTTTTTTTAAATTTTTTGTGCATGCTGGATATGAATTATTGTGTTAAGACCATTTGATGGTAGCCTCAGTCACCCGGTACTCATAACTGTCCATAGTTTCAGTTATACATTAGGAAACTGTAACAACTAAAGGTATGGGGGAATTAAATACTGATGATAAATTATTGAGCCATGGCTGGTGAAAGTTACTTGGGCTTTGATTGCTATGGTTTGTGTGAGAATGTGAATGATAAAATGTGTATGGACAACTCTTGCCCCCCGGTGAGCCATGGCTGGTGAAAGTTACTTGGGCTTTGATTGCTATGGTTTGTGTGAGAATGTGAATGATAAAATGTGTATGGACAACTCTTGCCCCCCCGCCCCCCCCCCCCCCCCCCCCCCCCCCCCCCCCCCCCCGCACCACCCCCCCCCCCCCCCCCAAATCCAGAGCCCTCTTGGACAAATCTGAGCCCCCATCCACAAGGACACAAATAATGGTTAGAGTGTTCATAACGTCATAACTATTATAAAAACTAAATGTTGAACATTGTTCAGTAATTGTAGTAGTTACGTTGGATAACCTGCCAATAATTGGCACATTAAAGGTTAGCTGGAAGTGATTTCATGAGTTGTCTTGCTATTTCTTTTATGGTGAGACTCGGTGAGTGCTTGGTAAATATGCTTTGATTTAGACAGTACACATACATACCTATTATTTTAGTCAATTTACCTCCATAATGTATTGTCAATTTACTTGCAAATTCTTTGATTCATATTATAACAAATATATAGGTTTCTTCTCTTTCTAGTAAATGTATTCAATGGATCAGTTTTTTTTCATAAATTTGTATGAGCATATGCTTGGGAGATCATTTTGTTAATTTTTTATATTTTATTTTTTCAAGGCTTAGATCAATCTTGTAAATTGATTGAAATTTATGAACAAAATTATTAAAATGATATGATGTTCTTTCAGTTCTAAAATCTTGCTACAAACTGCAATTTCACAATATCATTCATGTCAGTTGACAGCTAAGGGTCTATTTTGTTTGTTAAGTACTTGTGATTCCCAATACAATTTTAGAATCTATTTATAAGTGTTTTGGTTCTTTTTATAACCCCATATTGATTTTTACTCAATGCTAGCTCACTAATTGATTAAAAATGTTTATTTTCTTGAAGGAAAGCTTTTCACAAAGAACTAGTAATGCTTTTGCTAAGGATATGCAAGATCACTTAACTAATTAGGAATCCATAATAGGCATAGCATTTGAAAGAAGTTATTCTTGGTGAATATGTTTTATCAACTTATTTATACTATTTTTTTGGTTCCTAGATGAATATATTTGTTTTTAGAAGTTATTTGCACTTGGTATTTCTCATGTCTTCAATTTCATTGTTCTCAACAACAACAAAATCTTCATTCTTAAAAACCATCAATAGATTTAGCATGGTACCTTTTCAACATTTCTGGTGGGGTTTTCTTGGAACAAACTTTGTCAAACTTGTACTCCACAAATCAAATGAGAAAGTTATTATAAACCTTGATCAAAGCTTCAACTACAAGAGTCTTGGTGTGCTTTGACATATGCAATAATTTGATAAATAATTTTCTAACTGTCCCATAACTTTTTGATTGTGACTTTTTTTGCCTTGTGGAACAAGCAAACATGGAATAGCATGTTATTCCAGTCCAATATCTTTTCACCAGTATCTGTAAGCCAATAAACTGATTCTTCATTCAGATTGGTCTGCATTGTTTGTTTTTTTGTGTGTGCATTTTTTGTTTTGTTTTAAGGTCATATATAAATTTCATCATACTAAATTAGTAAAAATTTAAAGATAATGCAATTCAAAGATATTAACTTAATTATATTTAGTTTTAGTGAATGAGATTAGTAGGAGCCCTTATTTTTAAAGGGCAACTAACAGTCCATTGTTATTCATTACAATTGAAGGTATTGAGATTGTGAGGAATAAGTTGGAAATTAAAGGCAGTATGAAAATGTGCCTTGCCTAATTTGATATATAAATAAACTATTAGATGGTTTATTTTGTGTAACCATTGATTGAATTAGTCCATCAACATTGCGATATATGCTGATTTACTCGGCTTTTGAGCGGCCCTTCATGACTCGACACCTAGTTGAAAGGTAACTCAGGCTTACCTGGACTATCAATCATGTTTTAACTGTTACACTATTACTTTGTGTGGCTTGACACATTTTAAAATAGTTTCACTTTGTTATTGTTACCGTTTATTATAGATTACATGAAATTTGTATGAACGAAATTTGTTAAAATGAAAATTGTTTGAGGGAATTATGTTCGAAATTAAATAATTGGAAAGAAACAACAAACAGATGTTATTAAAAAGTTTACATCAATTACAATTTCCTCATTTCTAACTCGCACATTACCTCAAGTCTTAGGAAGAAAAAAATTATCTTTGTTAAATTTTAATAATTTGTATGGCATCTTTCCATCTGCGGGAGACGATAGATTATCTTTATTGCTTGCAGCTCTTGGTGTGGCTGGTGAGACCAATCCTCGAATGGCAGTCTCTGTTACATTTCCCACACACGAATGCGGTGGAGCAGAATTTACCGGGCTTCCTCCTCGCTCTTTTTGCCGCTGTTTCCACCCTGTTTTGATCCTCGGCATGTAGTGATCCTGCCTTCACGATGCCCCTCCATGAGGATCGATCCCCTGCCAACTCCTCCCCGTTTGACATGTCGATGTTGGCCGACTTCATGTCTCTTTTGCATATGTCTAAGTGTCTCAGACGAGGCCGTCCAACTGACATTTTCCCTGTCGCCAGCTCGCTGTATAGCACGTCCTTTGGTATGCGACCAGATTGCATTCGCTTCACGTGTCCAAGCCAGCCGAGGCGTCTTTGGATTAACATGGCCGGAACGCTACTCATGTTTGTTTGGGACAGGACATCCGTGTTGGGGACTTTGTCTTGCCATTTAATGTCAAGGATATGGCGCAGGCATCTGAGGTGGAAGCCATTGAGCCTTCTTTTGTGCTTCGAGTATGTGGTCCACGACTCGCATCCATACAGGATCGTGCTCAGTATGCAGGCCTGGTACACCTGCAGCTTCGTTCTTGTTGTGAGTTTGGCGTTTGACCAGACTCTTTTCTTCAGTCTGGCCATAACAGTTGCGGCCTTCCCTATCCTCCCACTTATCTCATCCTCCATTGAGAGGGTGTTCGATATGTTGGATCCCAGATATGTGAATCTGTCAACAGTATCCAAGTCGTAGTCGTCGATGGCGATATTAAGCTAGGGAAAATGCATAACCTCAATG